ATACAAATCATAGTCATGTGTTGGTCGAGCTCCAACTGCACAGTGTCCACCCTGGCACTGGTGAGCATCTCCACACCTGGAGAGAACCAGCAGGTGAAGCCCACACTACGTTTGGCGATAATGCCGGCTGTAAATAGCTAACGACTGACATCTTAGCTCAGGTTCCTCCAGCGTTCCTGAAAGCAGTACCCTTTGCCAGTGTCTGATCCGTCCTGGTCCAACCTGCTCATGGTGACCCCCATGGTGACACAGCATCTGACCCCCCGGCCTTTAATGTAGTCATCCTGTGCTGAACCCACCTGGGTTGCATGGGGGGGCTCAACCATCAGGCTCCCTGGTGAGTCCCAGTAACCTTGTTCCAGGCAAGTTACCCTGGTTTACTTGCTATCTTTCTGGGGGTGCAGGGTGCTCTGTTAGATCATGATTCGTCTGTCTTCTCACACCTGTTTGCCAAGCGAAGCTCTACCTTAAGCTCCAGGTGACGTCACTCTGTGGATTGTGGAAACACTCAAATCCCTTCAGCGTGAGAAGGTCACAGTCGTCCTTCTAAATGTCGGAGGCAGTATCCTACCATCACAGAAGCAGAGGCTCCAAGCTGATGATATAAATAATGCACATCTGAGTTTAAGCATCCAACCATCAGTCTTCTAAATATTTATCCAGCTCAGGGTCATGTTTGGCCTGGTGGTTGGAACGTATCCCAGGAACCAAATGCAAAAGGTGGGGGTTCTGCTGGAATGGGATGCCAGTCCATTGCAGATCATACACACTATAATGAGATTAAAGAGGCAATTGGTTTCTGAAATTTAATAACGTAATCTGTCATGCAATTCGGATAATCATGGATTTAGCTGCCAAAAATATTGTCGTTCTTTGAAATGTTTGCTTACATTTGTGATTGTATTGATTCATTTTCATGAATACTGATTAGTTTTACGTTAACGCTGCGTAAGAGTTATATGGCGTTCTGTGTTTTGTGTGAACACTTTTAGGTGTTGCAGTGTTCCACTGCCGAGATGACGTGAACGGGAAAAGTTCATATTCTGCGTAAGGGTCTAAAAAAATGATGTTACATTGTTCATTTTGGAGATGTGCAAAAAGTGCAATCAGTAAGTAAATCCATCAGTGATACAGATCCACAGTGTTGTGTATTTCCTAGAGGAAGTGAAAGTGGTGGACTTGATTGAGTTATTGCCATTTACTTGGAGAGATTGTCACGTTATTAAAGTTTAATCATTTTAGTACCACATACATTAACACAAATCGATACTGTGACTTTCTATTATATTTAATAGCATAGAAGCATAATGCAGAAAGGCTCTGCTTTATGAAAAAGGAAAACATAGATCCTGTTCTTGATGGCTACCTTAAAACAATGCAGATGTCTCAGTCCTTTCTGTGGTGTCCAGTTTTGTACAATTACAAAGTTCTTCATGCTGATTTTATTTGAGACCCGAAGGTTCTCTGTGACATTTACTGCAGCTAATTAGTACAAAGTGATATTGATACTTATGTGATCAGTGTTTTGTGTACCCGTGTACACAGTTTATCTGAGGCCTGGGGCGTGTTTGTGTACCCGTGTACACAGTTTATCTGAGGCCTGGGGCGTGTTTTGTGTACCCGTATACGTAGTTTATCTGAGGTCTGGGGCATGTTTTGCTATTCATAGCACCTTTGCTCATTTGGATATGATCAGCAGGCCTTTTCAAACCCTAATCTTATAGCCTAATAATAGCTGTTGTACTGTGCACGTGTTCACTTTTTATTTGCGTGTAATAACCAGCTTACATGTTCACAGGGCATAATTGATCTTTCGTAAGGACGGCCCTGGGGTGCTGCAGTGGCATCTTAGCAAGTATTTCATCTGTTTTGAATTGTGCAGTTTGTTCAAGCTTTGGTGCAGCCAGATCTAGTGAATTACAAAAGTTGGTTTAATGAGACCTTGTACACAGGGAGTGGACGGGTCCAGACCCTCCCCCTCCATTGTCTATGCTGGGATCTGTGGCAACACTGTAGCTCCTGAGGATATAGCAGTTGAATACCGTTTGCACTGCAGCAGTCTTTGTGTTCTCTTCCCCCCAGTTGACGGCCTCCATGTAGCCTCCGTGGCCCCACCCTCAGCTACAACCCCACAGCTTTGTTCCCTCAGGGCAACAGGCACAACCTTCCTGGTGGTCCATGTTTTCTGACAGTTTGGTGATAGCGGGGGGCTTTGGGGGGGGGGGGGTGTGTATATCCCCTGCATGACAGGAACTCGTGGGCAGGTCTTGGCAGGGCAGGGTGCAACTGTACTTGGAAATGAGCCTGTGTTATGTGGCGCTCTGTAGAAATGCGTGAGTGTGTATATGTATATATATATATATGTGTGTGTGTGTGTGTGTGTGTATATATAAACACACACACACACACACACATACATATACATATAAATAATATGTGGAACACATTCTATAAGGACGTAAATATATGCAGGCTACTGTGTGAGGGGGGTTTAGGCAATAAAAAGACTCGCGGGGGGAGATTGCAGGCAGGATTTTTATCAGGTTGTTTACCCCTTGGGGGACAGAGGCACCGTATGCCCAGACCGCTGTGTTTTCCCTTTTCTTTTTTTTTAATCCTCTGTAGCCCAATGAATAACCTTAGCTCTTTTGAACCCAGTGTAACATAGCTAGTTTATTTTGAGGCACTTTTTTGTTGTCATTTTACATCTTTAAACTGTGTGTGTGTGTGTGTGTGTGTGTGTGTATGTATATATATATATATATATGTATATGTATGTATGTATGTGTGTATATATATATATGGATGTAATATTTCCGAATCTTTCTTAGATTTGCGTTCAGCCAGGTGGGCAGAGGAGCTGTCAGGACTTGGCTGTTTTATGCTGCTGACAAGTTTCAGCGTGATATTTAAGGTCTGTGCTTACTTCCTGCCAGGGCCCTGTGTTACGCAAACGCGACTCCCTCTCAAGGCCGACATTCCTGTTTGGATGCTTCAAGTGCCATTATCATCGAACTGTTTGTTCCAAATCATCCGAATGCTAATGTTAAATTAATCTGCATCATAGTCAGACAGCAGTTCAGCTTTGCTGCTCATCTTGCCATTAAAGGTTCTGGTTACTGACGTATAGCCTTTCGGGACGTTTTTTATGTTAAATTTATTACACATACTTATTTTCCTCCAGTTCGTATATCATGATATACCATACTCACCTGTCTCCATTTGCCCGGGGCTGTTTATTCTTGATTTTACGACTTGCAGAGAAGAGTGCAAAGCTTTTGTCATTTGGATGTTATAAGGCCAGTTAATGCTCTGTGTCACTTACGTTTTCTTACTCAAACACATCATTAGATGCACTGCCTTTGGTTTGCAACGGATTCTCTTTTCCCTGCTGAATCGTGAAGCCAAAACAGGTTTATTCCGCACTGTGAATCTCTCAGGAGTGTTGGAGGGCTGCTTCTCTGCGGCTGTCCTAACAGAATCCCGGTTGCTGGTTCATAATTTCCCCACTCAACCCGTGAGAACTTTAACGGTGGCTCCCAATGTGCCGCCAGCTTACGCTGGAAGAATCTTTATCACCGATGTTGATCCTATGCTTCATGCTCAGATGTCTGGCTAATTGATAAGGTTTGATTCTTTTGATAAAACATCGCAGCAAAGTACACGCTGAAGTTTCCCATTTTTAAGTAAAGCGAATTCTTAATTGAGGAAATCCTCGTAGTGGTGCGGGCACATCCACGCGCTGCTCGACGTGTCGTACATTTCCGAAGATCTCCACCAGGGAGAATCAAGTAGGCTCTTATTGTAAAGACCTGAGGAATCTGTGTCACTGTCTTTCAAATACTTTTTTGTTAAAATAGAAATACAGTTTTTTAATGATAATTTCCATGATGTTTTGGTGATGTTAAAAAGGGTTGCGACCCCCAGTTTGAATAAATTATAGCCATTCTAATGGCCAGCCATACAGCTACAGTCATACAGCTACAGCCATACAGCTACAGTCATACAGCTACAGTCATACAGCCACAGTCATACAGCTACAGTCATACAGCTACAGCCATACAGCCACAGCCATACAGCCACAGCCATACAGCCACAGCCATACAGCCACAGTCATACAGCCACAGTCATACAGCCACAGTCATACAGCCACAGCCATACAGCTACAGTCATACAGCTACAGTCATACAGCTACAGCCATACAGCCACAGTCATACAGCCACAGTCATACAGCTACAGTCATACAGCTACAGCCATACAGCCATACAGCTACAGCCATACAGCCACAGTCATACAGCCACAGTCATACAGTCACAGTCATACAGCTACAGCCATACAGCCATACGGCTATAGCCATACAGCCATACAGCTACAGCCAAACAGTCATACAGCTACAGCCATACAGCTACAACCATACAGTAGTAGAGCCTCTTGTCCCTGTCTGTGTGCTGCATCTATTCAGTTGCAGCTACATGGTTTGCTGAAAAACAACAGCAAGATTTCTAGAGGGGAGTTTTTTCTTATTCAGGTGTCCATTTACATTATAGAATTGAAAGTTTGCCAAACTTTGGATCTAAATTGAGGCAGTGCTGGAAAAGTTTGTGCATATTCTGCTCATTCATGACAGCACTGTGCCAGACAACATACTTGCAGTAACCTACGTTTAAAATGATATTTAAACATTAATTTTTAACTTCCATAGCTGCATAAAGATCATCACCTTGAATCACTACATGCCTGGAGTCATTGTACTGTAGGTGCCTCTGAAAAGCTGTTCAAGACCCGTGTTCAAGTCTTTTAATGCTATTACTTTCTACGATTGATCTTTGGGTGCTCCTATTAATTAAGGTTTCCAGAGGCCACGCGTAGGTCAGATTTATTTTATTCCTGAAACTTCCTCTGGCAGTTCATGAACGTTCTGATGTTCTTTTTTAACTGCAGTGTTAATTTTGTCGCTGTACCTGGGTCTGCGGCTCTCATGTCTGCCCTGTCTCCTGCAGTTCGGTGGAGATGAGAAGAGAGTGGGCAGCAGGACGATCTGCGTGGGATGCAGGTCGTCTCTCACCACGGAGGCCTTTCTCCAGCAAGCCTTCTGTGACAACCGGATTGTGTCCTCTAAGTACACCGTCTGGAACTTTCTCCCCAAGAACCTTTTTAAACAGTTCAGAAGAATTGCCAACTTTTACTTCCTTATTATATTTTTGGTGCAGGTAATAGTGGACACGCCCACCAGCCCTGTTACCAGTGGCTTGCCCTTGTTTTTTGTGATCACGGTAACTGCCATCAAACAGGGGTACGAGGACTGGCTCCGTCACAAGGCTGACAATGAAGTGA